ATAGTACATTGACTATTGTGAGGAGGAGTTAGGTGACTGAATGTACTAAGACAATGATTTATAGAAGTAGGAAAGATGAAGATGCAAAGAAAAGAAATGGATAGAACTGTCTTAAGAAGGTTCATCCTCCCTTCTTCCCTCTTTTTCTACTTCTTAGTACTTCCACTGTTGGAGTTTGAACTCACAGCCTGGTGCTCACTTGCCTTACTTGCTAGGTTGGCACTCTACCACTTGAGCCATTCCTCTTGCCTGACTTTTTGCTGATTATTTCTGGCCAGCCTTGACCCGAGAGTTTCTTAATTTTAGTTTCCCAAGTAATTAGCATTATAGATGTGAGCCTCTGGTAAACTGGCTTCTTTTTATTCTTTTCTTTTTGAAGATTAGCAAAAGTTTGTTTAGTAAAGCAGGGAGAAATAGAGAAAGGAACACCTCTTGACATACAGAGGGCGAATATAGAGCCTCTTATGGTGTCTTCCTATTTTTCTCTCTCTTTTTCTTTCTTTTCATTCTTTCCTTGGTATCAGTTAGTTGTACAGGTGGATTTCATTTTGACATGCCCATATATGCACACAGTGTACCTTGATCAGACACAACCCCTCCATTACTCTCCCCCCTCCTCCTACCGTTTCCCAAACCAATCTTAGCAATCTTTATTCATACATTTAATACTGTATTTTGACCACATTCACCTTCCTTTCCTCCCCAATTCCACTAGTATCGTCATGCTGAAATTCATGTTTTTAGTATATGGTACTTGTTCAAAGGGGTTTCACACATACATATACAGTATTTTATTCTGATTGACCCCCTTATTTACTTGAACGTTACCTATTATCACTATCCTGTATTCAAGAGATTTTGGTGAGTTTCATTTTACTAACTTATAGATCTTCATTCACAGGTACAGGTCATTTCAGTATTGCTCACCCTCTAACATTCTCTTTTCCTTTCCTGTTGCTAAGCCCCTCAAATAGTTCCACAGTTACCAATACATTATGTGATCCTCTTTGGGTTTACATATATGTGTATCTTTTAGGTCTAGCATCTACACATGAAAGCAAATATGCAACCTGTGGCTTTCTGAATCTGGCTTAATTTCCTTAATGTTCATTCTTCAGTTTCATTTGGTTTCCTGCAGATGACACATATTACTGTTCTTTACAGCTGAATAATACTTCATTGTCTACATGTACCATATTTTCTTAATTTGTTCATTGGTTATAGGGCATTGGGCTGTTTCAGTAGTTTGGCTATTGTGAATAGTGCTGCAATAAACATGGGCAGGCCAGTGCCTCTATTTTTTTTTTTGTAGGCCATGGGGCTTGAACTCTTGGGCCTGGGCGCTGTCCCTCAGCTCTTCAGCTCAAGGCGGGCGCTCTACCACTTGAGCTACAGCACCACTTCTGGTTTTCTGGTGGTTTATTGGAGATAGGAATCTCACGGTCTCTCCTGCCCGGGCTGGCTTTGAACCGTGATTCTCAGATCTCAGCCTCCTGAGTAGCTAGGCTTACAGGCGTGAGCCACCAGCGCCCGGCAAGTGCCTCTATTTTTATCCTGACTTAAATTCCTTTAGATATATGCCCAGGAATGGTTTGTTGGATCATATAGAAATTGGTATGGAGGTTTCCCTTAAAAACTAAAAATAGAATTGTAGTGTTTCTTTTTTTTTTGGGGGGGGTCTGGTCATGGGGCCTGAACTCTGGGCCTGGGCGCTGTCCCTCAGCTCTTCAGCTCAAGGCTAAGCACTCTATCACTTGAGCCACAGCGCCTCTTCCGGCTTTTTTTCTTTTTGCTTATATGGTACTGAGGAATCGAACCCAGGGCCTCAGGCATGCAAGGCAAGCTCTCTACCACTGAGCTACCTTCCCAGCCCCAAGTTGTAATATTTCTTAATGGTACTTCTCCCTGCTCTAAATTACTTGGGTAGTTAAAAAAAAGTCCTTGAAGTAACAGAAATGTAGGTATAGTAGCCTTATTTAGCTAGGGAGAACAAATTCTTTTGCTAGCTATTTAGTATATTTGTAATTATGATTAAATAGGGAGAATAGAAACATATTGTTGACTTGAAAGTCAGAGTTGAATACTGCTATCATAATATTAGTCCCAATGAATTACATAAGTGAAGTTGCTCTTTTTAAGATATTTTGTACCTTAGAAGCAGAAAGTCTTGGCCAGACATGCTCAGGTGGCTTGACACAGGAGGATTTTGAGTTCAAGGACAGTCTGAACTACATAAGCTACGTCTCAATAACTCCATGAATTAAAATTAAAAAATTACACAAAACGCAAAAACAACAGAAAAAGGTAGACAGGTCACTCTTGGCAAATGAATTAAGAGCTGTAGTTAAAAATCCATCAGATTTAGCTTCTATCAGAACTCTTTCGTGTTGCCTCAGTTTCTTCTTTGGAAAAGGGTAACAAATATCTTCATTACTTTTTTTGTAAGAGTTGACAAATCTTTATAAAATGTAATATTTTTTAATTTTTTAGCTAATTTATTATAATTAAGTTGAAAATTCAAAAGGTGGACACTCCACTGTGTAGCTGAGTTTGTGTATGGACAGAGCTGCATTTTACATCTCCTCCCTGTTTCTCTTCTTCCCTGCCTTTCCCCCTTTTGCAACATGGGATTGAACCCAGTGCTTTGTCACTTCAGCCATGCTTCCAGATAGGGCTTACTTGCTTTGTTCTACTGGCCCCAAACACCTGCCTCTGCCACCTGAGCATTTCAAATCTTACCATTTAATTTGGGGGAGAGAGGGATGGAGTAAGTTGCTAAAAGGTTAAAGTTGATCTGGGAACAACTGATTAAGCAGGGCCGGCTGTATCATTTGGTGAAGGGTTGGCGGTGTCATCTATAAACAAGAAATGGTTAACATGATCCCTAGGTAGAATATGTAGCCCAGTTTGTCAAGATGCAGTTCTTGTTTAACAGTCACCTGAGAGACTACTAAAACATGCAGGCTATGAAGGTCTTTGAACATCTTCATTTCTGTTTTTCAGCAAGCATTCAGATGATATTGTACATGCTGATTTAATACCTGCTGGCAGAAACCGTCTGTATTTTGGGGTCCCTGTGAACTCCGTTAGAGATGGTTTTCCTAACTAAAGTGTTTCCTAGTGCCCATTTGTAGTGTAAATATAAAGAGAGCTCAATATGTCAATATGCCAGATGTTTGAAAGGGCTGAACATAGATGCAAGGACTTGAATCTGACCAAGTACAGAAACATAATATGGAGAGGTAGCCATGAAGAACAGGCCAGGGAAATGACACTATTCTACAGAAGAAAACATTTCATTTAAAGAAACCACTAATAGAGCTAAGTTGGATAATACAATTTGTTTGCTAAGTCTGATTGCTTTTCACTTAGCTAAAATTATATACTCAAAAATAGAGATTTTGATTGAAGTGTATCAAATTTAGAATTGGGCTTTTGGATAGAAAGTAGGTTGGCTGTGGGAATGATACGTCTTTTGGGAAAAGCCATTGCTTAGTATAAGGGCATTGACTTGGGAAGAAAATCATGAGAGAAGGTTTAAACTTTTTTGTTGTTGTTGGTCGTGGGGCCTGAACTCTGGGCCTGGGCACTGTCCGTCAGCTTTCCAGCTCAAGGCTAGCACTCTACCACTTGAGCCTCAGTGCCACTTCCAGCTTTTTTTTTCTGCTTATGTGGTGTTGAGGAATTGAACCCAGAGCCTCATGCATGCAAGACAAGCACTCTACCACTGAGCCACCTTCCCAGCCCCAAGAAGGTTCAAGTTTTAAGTGAAAAAATAAAAACCAGTTGCTCTAATTTTTGCTGGTGATGGCTGCCTGTGTGTAATGCAGTGTAAACCTACCTTTAATTCTGGGACCCACAGGACTCCAGAATTTGATCAGAGCTGTCATTGGAAGAACAGCATAAATTGGAGCCAGTTCAAACCCAAAAGCATTGCTGAAATAAACAGAGTTATGGCTCATGTTTTGTGGTAGAAAAGAAACCATACCAAGCCCATGATACTTTCTAAATTTGAGTGGAAACTATCAGTTGACATTACTGTTTGAGGAGCCCATTGTTTTTTGAGGTTGTTTTCACTGTTTCGTGGCCCCTTCTATGAGGGGGAAAAGAACAATAGACATTTCTTTCTGTCTTGTGACTTGTGAAATATAGTGTTTGTTTTCAGATGCCCAGAATGAAAAGTGTACATTATATTAGGAAGTTTCATTTTTCGAGGTTAAAGATTTTGGTAATTATCATTTGTTTTAAAACTTTTTATGTAGTTTAACTTTTTCTTAAAAGCATTTTTTAAAGCTTAGACTATAAATGAAGTTTAAAGAAATCCAGACTTGAATTCTGGCACTCACTAATTGAGTCAGTGATACTGGTCAGATTAACCTAACTTAAACCTGAGTTTTAGAATATGTACAGTGAGAATAACAATACCTAATTCATAGCTTTTTTTCATCTTAAACCTACATAAATCTTAGTAATCTGGCACTTAGTATTCAGTAAATAGTATCTTTAGGCTAGACTGATAATACCATTTATTTATTCAAATCTGTTTTGGAATTATTATTATTATTATTTGGTGCTGGTCTTGGGGCTTGAACGCAAGTCTAGGCACTGTCACTGAACTCTTTTGTTGAAGGCTAGGACACTACCACTTGAGCCAGAGCTCCATTTCTTGCTTTTTGGTGGTTATTGGAGATAACTTGTCTCACAGACTTTCCTTCCTTGGCCTGACTTCCAGTCCTCATCCTCCAATCTCAGCCTCCTGAGTAGCAAAGATGAAGGGGTGAGCCTCATGGCCCAGCAGAATTTTCTTTGAAATGAGAACTCTGTGTACTATGTTGTATAAAACCCCCAGTGAAGTCTGGAGCGGTCAATGCCTGTGCTTTGTTTGAAAAATGTTTATGAATCAGTTAAGGGCAGTAAGTAGTCTCACATGAGGCCAGATTTTACTGCTGAATGAGTTCAGATCAGTTTAGTTTTTGCTAGCAATGAGTAATGAAGGAACTTTCAGTTTTACAGCTTTTTGTGTATTGAATTTGAGTATAAAATACTCTGTTTTTACTGAATTTTAACTTGGTAAGGATTACTTTATTCTGAGTTTCAGCTACTGACTAAACTGGTTAACTCCTTTTGGGAAATTCTATGCATTTTGGATTCTAGTAGTTTCCTCTAAGAATGAAGAACGCTTAATGAAAGCTTGTACTTTACTGCATGTTTTTAAATTCTTGGGAAGAATAGTTATAAATATTGACTTTACAGTGTATGTATTACTTTAATAATTCTGATATATTTTCCTTTCTTTCACTTTCTCTTTTTCTTCCATCCTTTGAAATAGGGTCTCTGTCTGTGTAGCTCTGGCTAAGCTGTGAGCTCAACAATCCTCCTGCCTCTACCTCCAAGTGCTAGGATTTACAGGTGGGTGCCATCACACTGGGCTAACTTTATATTTATAACAAAAACTGTGGCAATACTTATTCCTCTTAGGTTCCTCACTGCAAGTATGGGGTTTAGTGTGTGTTGTTTTGCAGCATGTCTATGAGACTACGATGCCTTCTTAAACTGTCCTCTGTTATCATTGAAGCATAGGAGAAACGTTTATATGCTTCAGAGTAATTAGGAATGTGGTTCTAGTGGTTGTGGGAAGCAGGGGGAGAAACAGATTAGGAAATTAATACTTTATTCTTGCTTCTGGAAAGAGTTCTAGTTTCCTAGAGTAATGGTTATTTTTTTTGTTCCCTCACAAAACTATATTATTTTTGTCTTAGTATCCTCATTTTTCAGATAAGAAAACAGACTCAGATGAAATGTACAAAAAGGGTAGAGTTGAAGAATTTGTGCTTAGTTTTTTCTGGCTTAAGAACTATTCTCTATATAACTTTATTCCAACATGTTCTTCTCAAAGCAGAAATTGTCTATGGAATGGCAGAATTAGGAAATTCAATGCATAAGTTATAGTAAATCAGGGTTCTTAATGTATTTAAAAACAACCAGGAAATGTTGTTGAGGTGAATGTAACTTTGTGTCATGACATGCTAATGCCCAGTGCAGTATGGAAGTGCTAACTAGCCTTGTCAGTGGACCTGGATTTGGCTGACATAAGAAACTTTGTGTTCTTGAGGCTTTTAATTACCCCTCTGCTTTGGCTTCAAGAATGCATATGACTGTCTGCTTTCTGCTTCTTCATAAGGTGTAGCAAGTACAGTCAGTCTTCCCTATCTGTGGGCTCCCCATCCATGGATCCAAGCAACCTTGGGTTAAAAATAGTTGCAGAAATCCCTTATGGGGACTGAACACCCATAGACATTTTCCTTGCCATTATTTCCAGAAAAGTTCAGTGTAACAACTGTTTTTACATTGTGTTGGTTATCATAAGTAATCTACAGTTTACTTATGATAGGGAGCATTGAGAGGATAAGTATAGGTTTTTTCTTGCAAAGAAATACATTGTCATTTTACAAAGGAATATGGTATTGATGTATTTAGGAATTCCTCATAGATACTGAGGGATGGCTGTATTTATGCCAGTCTTGGTATATGTTAACTTGGGTTTATTCTAAAAGCTTGGAACTCAAGTTTTGTAGTTTAGTGCTATTTGAGAAACATTTTAAGTGATATTTTTCAGGACATGAATGGGATACCTGTTCTACAGAGTTTTACTGAAACAGGCAAAAAAAAAAATTACCAAATGCCTAGATGTTATTTTTTTTTAGAAGTTGTGATGTCTTCCCATTATAAACATAATGGAATAGGAAGTTGAGAAATAATAGACTAGAAGGAAAAGAAAAACTTACTTCATTTTAAAGTACTGAAACCATTTAGGTGTAGTCCTTTATTGATGTGACTGGTTTAATATCAGTTCGTTGAAATAAAGGAGTAAGAATAAGTATAAGTATAAGAAAAATATATTTCAATTTCTTACGATAAAAGAGATTGAAGCAGGTAGAGAAGGAAAGTTCAGTATGATGGTAAACAGCAATGTTATCAGAGTCTTATGTTTTTGTTTAATTTTTAAGAAATCATAGCTGTTTATGTTAAATATTAGAATAGGTGCAGATAAATATAATGAATACTTTTCCTTTTCGCTAATCTTTCCAAAATATAGACAATTTACAAATTCCTTTTTATAAAGGAGTTATTCAGGGGAAATTGATATGATTTATTTTTAAAAAATTCTTTCTGTGGAGCAATATCACCATCTTGTGGCCCTGTAAGAACATTGTCAAAAGTGAAGTTTTTATAGTTACAAGCAAAAATTGTCCTCTAGATATTAGCCAAGGAGTGCATCACGTTTCTAACTGGCTTTGTTTACTGCCAACAGAAAATAAAGTGATTTGTGGACTAGCATTGCAGCTTTGTTAAAAATTTTTTATTAGAATAAAATAATGGAATAAAAATGAAAAAAATTACAGGTGATTTGCTAAGATTTCATTGTAATAAAAAATATGTAGTATTTTTAATGAAGTAATTCTAAGCTTAAAAATTTTTTAGGTTTTCTGATCTATTCGTTAATTTATTAAAAAAACTCGAATGCTCAGAGAAATTTAATGGGACTTAAATTTTTTTTTTTTTTGTGGCATTTTAAAATCAGCTTCTAGGGCTGGGAAGGTGGTTCAGGGGTTGAGTGCTTGCCTTGCTTGTGTGAGGCGCTGGGCTCGATTCCTCAGCACCACATCAGCAAAAAAAAGCCAGAGGTGGCGCTGTGGCTCAAGTAGTAGAGCACTAGCCTTGAGCTGATGAGCTGAGGAACAGCGCCCAGGCCCAGAGTTCAGCCCCCATTACCGACAAAAAGAAAACAAAAATCAGTTTCTAAATACATTTAATTTTGTTTTTGAATCTGAGTGTAGGAAAATAATTCCAAACTTGACTGACTTTATAAGTGATTAACATAAACATCAACGAAGGTGTTTGCTTTGCCTTAAGGTCTCAGTCTCTCCATTGTATAGGAATGCTTTGTTTAGTAATGCATTCTTCCCACTTCTAGTCATATTGCTCTGTGCATTTCCTCTTGTCTCTGCTCAGTTTCCTCTCTTTGACATGCCATTTCATTGGCTTGAGTCTTTTGTTTAAATTTTATTTACTTATTGGTAGGGGCTTGAATTCATGGCCTGGGCACTGTCCCTGAGCCTCTTTGTGCTCAAGGCTATTGCTTTACCACTTGAGCCACAGATTTTTGAGTGGTTAATTGGAGTCTCATGGAGACTTTCTGCCTGGGCTGGCTTTGAACCTTAATCCTTAGATCTCAGCCTCCTGAGATTACAGGTATGAGTCACTGGTGCCAGGCTTGTTTATTATTAAGTAGTTGGACAAAGGGATTACAATTCCATGAATTGCTTCTTGGACAGTGTCACTCCTTCCTTTGCTTCCTCCTGTTTTCCTGTCCCTGCCCACAAGTTGAATAATTTGTTTTTGTAATTTTCAATGTTAAGCAGTATTTTTTAACTAGTTACTCCCTGAGGAATATTTTCTACATTAAGTTTTATATTTTTTTCATTTTGATGATAATCTTTTTTCCCTCTGATATACGTCTTGCTATGTTACCCAGGTTGGTCTTAAGCTCCTGGGTTTAACTGACCCTCTACCTCAGTGGAGACTATGGACACATTGACTCACTATGCTGCTATTTTGATGATAATTTTTATTATTGTTGTTGTTGTTGTTTTTGGTCCGTTGTTGGGCCTGAACTCTGGGCCTGGGCACTGTCCCTGAGCTCTTCAGCTCAAGGTTAGCGCTCTACCACTTGAGCCACAGCGCCACTTCTGGCTTTTTCTGCTTATGTGGTGCTGAGGAATCGAACCCAGGACCTCATTCATGCAAAGCAAGCTCGCTTACCACTGAGCCACCTTCCCAGCATTGATGACAATTTTTAAAGGGAGAGGAGAGGAGAAGTAAAAATGTAAGAAAGCACTTAAAGGGATATAGCTCAGTGATAGAGTGCTAACCTAATGTATATAAGACCCTAAGTTTTATCCTAGCACTGCAATATTAGAAAATAAATAACACCTAAAAGAATAAGTGCATTTAAGTTTAGTGCCTCTGTTTGGTTGATTGGGGTATAAGTTAAATACCTTCTGTATGCCAGGCTTTGAGACAGGTAAGTAGGTAGATACAAAGGTGAGGATTTGTCTGGACACTCTTGGAACTTCTTCTAGTATTCGATAAAAATTAAAAAAATAAAATTTTGAAATCAGTAATTCTGGATTAAATACATCTTGGGTCATATACCATGCAAGTGCTGTGGGTACTTTTTCTATTCTCAGTAGTTTACTTTGGGACTTTGATTTTACAGGGACAATGCATATGAACACAAACAGGTTTTTGTGGAAGCCTTGAAATATCTCTGGAACAATTGATTTCCTTGTAAAGTATAAGAACTTTGGCCTGTTCAGGTTCAATAGCTTTTAGTGACATTGTTTCTGTGAGAAAATTTGTACTTCATTTTTAGTAGTCATCTTTTCCTCAATTTTTTAAGTGTCTTGTTGATATATAATTGGGGATTAGGATACTACTTCTGGAGTGTTTTGAATATGTAATTTGCAGCTGGAGAATATTCAAGTGTAAAGACCTTTGATTTAAATACTTTTGCTTGCTTTAGGATTTGACAAGTAAAGTAAGAATTGTAGGTTCTTTGCATTTGAAGAAATAAGCATGAACCTGGTGCTCAGAATTAGCAGGGCCAAGGTGGGAGTGGATGTATGTGGTTGTATAGTTCACCTTCATAGGACTAAAAAATATTTTAATTAGAAGTTTCAGTTCTGTGTTGTTGTGGGGCTTGAACTCAGTGCCTGGATGCTGTTCCTGAGCTCTTTTTGCTCAAGGCTAGCACTCTATCACTTTGAGCTACAGCACTACTTCTGTTTTTCTGATGGTTAATTGGAGAGAAGAGTCTCATGGACTTTCCTGCCCAGGTTGAAACGGTGATTCTTAGATCTCAGCCTCCTGAGTAGCTAGAATTACCGGCATGAGCCACAGTCACCTAGTAGTATCTAGGTTTTTTAACTTAATCATCCTCATCCTTCTATGTGGTTTACATTTTAATTGTGAACCTTCATTTTAACACATGTTTATCGAGTTTGTCTTTCCAAAGTCTTAGTGTGCCTCCTGTTACACTGAAGAATTGGAATCATTAGGCAAAGACTCCTTATTTCCTGACATTTTCTGTGATTTCCTCTCTTCACTTTTCTCCTTTGCTACCCCTTCCCCACCTCCCCCCAGTCCTGGGACTTGAAATCAGGGTCTGGTTACAGTCTCTGAGCTTCCTTTGCTCAAGGCTAGTATTCTTACCACTTGATCCACAGTGCCACTTGCAGCTTTTTCTGTTTATGTGGTACTGAGGAATCAAACCCAGGGCTTCATGCATGCTAGGCAAGCACTCTACCACTAAGCCATATCCCCAGCCTCTCCTTTGGTTTTTGATCCCAAAGATCTCTGTCTATGCTTTTATCAGTATTGACTGACCTCATTTTCCTAGCACTGTAAGATAGTACAGATTGAGTATCTAGGAACCATTGCCAGAGTAAATGGTACTCCTGTGTCCTTGTCTTTAGTTGCCCTTTGTCTGGTAGGTATTTTGAGTATCCTTTACGTCACCAGAAAGGCATAGCTTAGAAGATGCTCTTCAGTGGATGAATGGATCAAGAAAATGAGTTATATTACAATTGAATTTTACTCATCCTTTAGGAAAAATGATAGTATGTCATTTTCAGGGAAATGGATAAACCTGGAGAAGATGTTAAGTGGAAGTTAGATCTCAGAGAGACAGAAGACACGTGTTTTCTCTCATATGTGGAAGTTAGATCTGAATTATAAATACAGATTCATCCATTTCCCTGAAAATGACATGCTAAATACATAAGTAAACATATATAGGGTTATATGCCTACATATGCAAGTATATTAACTAATGCATTGTATATTCAGGGGGAGAATTTCCAATGGTATACTTCCCTTCTAACAACTTACAGTTTAACAAAATGAATACCAAGAAGCTGAAACTTGTGACAGTTGGGGATGTAATCAAGGGGAGAAGGGTAGACAAATGCAGGGGGGAAGAGTGGGAAAACACAGTCATGATATTTCAGTGTACATATGTGAAAATGGAACTTGGGAAATTGAGGGAATGGGTGAGCTTGGGAGAATTGCTGAAAGGAGTGACACTGATTAAGATGCATTCTACTTCTTAACTGATATGTTGAACTGAACCCTCTGTGCAACTACCTGAAGATTTAAAAATCAAAATGATGACTTCTCTGTCTTTTGTGTTCAATGGAATTAATCTGATATTCATAGAGAGAAAGTCAGTGTTGGACCTTATTAAAAAACAAAATCATATCTAGTAAGATAATTCAACTCATGGGAAAGGTTCAGAGAAGCATTACTCTTTTTCCCCTAGTAGCCACTTGTAAATTATTAGACATTTTTGTGATTGGCACTGAAAGAGATTAATCAGTGATATTTATTGAGAGATCACTGAACAGAGAAATCAGCTATGAGCCTGGCACTGGTGGCTCATGCCTTTAACTCTGGCTACTCAGGAGGCTAAGATCTGAAGATGGTGTTTCAGAGCCAGCCTGTGCAGGAAAGTCTGTGAGACCCTGATCTCCAATAGACTACTCAGAAAATTGGTGCTGTGGCTCAAGTGGTAGAAAGCTAGTCTTGAGCTGAAGAGCCGAGGGACAGCGCTCAGGCCCAGAGTACAAGCCCCACGACTGACAGAAAAAAAAAAGAAAACAGCCATGTTCTGTCCCAGACAGGTGAAAGTATATAATGAGAATTAGTACTGGTTTTATTTGAGATAAAAATTCACAGTGGTTAAGGGCAATGCTAGAAAAACGCTTCGAGAGAAAGAATAGAGATGAAAAGAAAGTGTTGGTGTTGCCTTGGTGAACTTAGAAACAGTTACACACACTATTTCCTAGATAAAGTAGATGTTAATGTTGGACACTGAAGTGCTGTGCATACTAAAGGAGTGCAGGCTTCCCTGAAGTGAGTAGGCAGATTCTAACGTTGCACCTATTGGGTGATTGTGGGCCATAGAGGGCTGTCAGCTTCGGAATGGAGTACTACTGAATGGAATGCAGGTCTGCAAGCTACAAGGGTTGTAAATGGGAGGCTGTGTAATGAGTATGACAGCATGGGCTAGGGAGGGACAGCAGGACTGAGTGTCAAGGAAGTCTATGCAGAAATTGGAAATTGTTTGGTTCATTAGGAGTCAACCTGGTGAGGATTTGGAGAATTTTAAGTTAATGATATTGAGAGCTAACACTGGGTATGGAGAAAACCCCTTGGTCCACCTGTTTCCTGACTGTGTACTTTCTGGAATTCTGTCCTGAAGAATTTTACTTCAAGATGCAATTCACTTATAAGTTATCTTCTCTGTGAAGCTGTTCCTGAACCATGTAGTTTGGTTAGTTGCCATCTCCCTGTGCCCAGATGTATACATTCACATTTTTCATCCAATTTAGTAATTATTACACTGAAAGCAGTTTGTTTGTTTGCAGGGTTATCTCTTCAGCAGACTATGAGCTCCTTGAAAGAAAGAATCGTGTCTTACTCATCTTTGTGTCCCCAGTGTCTAGTACAGTTCCTGATACATAGTAAGTGATTAATGTGTTTTAACTAACACTGTGTTTGACAGTCAAACTCAGTGCACATTGTTAATTACACCCATGTAGACCTATTAAGATGTTGTTTTAGCAGTATGTCTACAGAGGCAGTTTCCTCACCTTTAAGTTATAGATCATACCATACATGGTATCTCTAATCATACATACATATATGTATATGTAAGTGTGTGTGTGTGTGTGTTGTACACACATACCCCCCACATATATATTCTTAGTGTCACACAACTTTGGATTATAAATGAATTGCGAGGTTAGGTATAATGTAAGTTTGAACATGCCAGAATATATGAAACGTGGAAGTCAGTAATAAATACAAGTATCTGTGAGCCAACATTTCAAACTACAATTTAGATCTGTACTAACACAGTTAATGAGCTACCAGTGAATACATCTCTTACCCAGCATTCCTCTTTTCCCAACTCCAATGTAAATACTATCTTGTTTTCTTTCTTTTTTTGTGCTGGTCCTATGGCTTGAACCCAGGGCATTGGTGCTATCCCTGAGCTTTTTTGCTCAAGATTACTACTCTACTGTTTGAGCCATTGTTCCACTTTCGGATTTTTCGTGGCTAATTGGAGATAAGAGTCTCATGGGCTTCCCTGCCTAACCTGGCTTTGAATTGTGATCCTCAGATCACAATTGAATTGAGATCCTCCTTAGTAGCTAGGATTATAGGTGTAAGCTACCAATGCTTGGCTCCTAAATTTTTTATTTCTTTATTTTCGGTGGTATTGGGGCTTCAAATCAGGGATTTGTGCATGTCAGAGAGATGCTCTACTATTTGAGCCATACCTCAGCCCTTTTTTTAAAACAAAAGAATTTTTTGAATAGGATCTCACATGCCTGGGCTAGCCTGAATTTCAGTTCTGCTATTTATGCTTTTCATGTAATTGGGATGATAAGCTTCTGTTACTATACCCAATTTTTTATCCATTGAAATGAAGTCTCTTGAATTTTTTTGCCTTAGAATGTAAATGTGCAGCTTTATATGATAACGTCAGATTGATTGCCAGTAGAATTTTACCAGTTAAAACATTTACCCTTAGATCTTCCCCATCTGCCTTCTGAGTAGGTAGTATTACAGGTATGGGTCACCACTCCTGGCTGACCTTTTCTTTTTTTTTCTTTCTTTTCTTCTTCTTTTTTTTTTTTTTTTTGGTCAGTCATGAGGCTTGAACTCTGCTCCTGGGTACTGTCCCTCAGCTCTTCAGCTCAAGGCAAGTGCTCTTCCACCCCAGGCAGGACAGTCCATGAGACTCTTATCTCCAATAAACGACCAGAAAACCAGAAGTAGCGCTGTGGCTCAAGTGGTAGAGCGCTAACCTTGACCTGAAGAGCTGAGGGACAGTGCCCAGGCCCAAAGTTCAAGCCCCACATCCAACAACAACAACAACAAAAATTTCAGACTACATAAAATTTCAAAAATTTTATATGGGACATTGTTAAAATTAGAATATGGACTATATATTAGAGAATAGTTGGGTACTATTTAGATTCCCAAACTTTAGTATTATGCTGTAATTATTATATATTTATTTTTAGGAAATACATAGAAAAATTGATGTGTAAAAGGTCAGTGTACTCAAGTGGTTCAAATAATATATTCATATATTAATTTATTCAGTATGTGCTTATTTAACATATGACACTGGATTCTTTTTTTTTTTGGTCGGTTGTGGGGCTTGAACTCTGGGCCTGGGTGCTGTCCCTGAGCTCTTCAGCTCAAGGCTAGTGCTGTACAGCTTTGAGTCATAGCACCTCTTCAGGTTGTGGTTAATTGGGGGTAAGAGTCTCACGGACTTTCCTGCCCTGGCTGGCTTTGATTTGCAGTCCTCAGCTTCCTGAGTAGCTACGATGACAGGAGTGAGCCACTGGTACCTGGCTTCTGGATTCTTAATATAATCGTTTATTTTGTTGCTCATATTGACTCAGATATGATTTATTTATCATAATGTTCTGTAATTTATGTTTCTAATGCTCGGTTATAATTTCAGATGAAAGATGCCTGAGAATATAAACGTGATGGCTGAAAATAAGAGTGTATTATAATTGTATAATTGATTTGAACAGCAATGTTTAAACATTTTGCAAAGTTCAGTATTGTGTCTCGTATATAAATAAATGATCTTTTTTTATAGACATAAACTGAATTTTGGGACATGGCCACTGCTTCACCACGGTCTGATAGTAGTGATAACCACAGTGGAAGGTTACAGTTACAGGTAACTGGTAAGTGGTTTTCAAATAATTTAATATGGTGATTCTCTGAAATTCAATTTTGAATATCCCAACTCAGCAGACTTACCACATAAATAAAGTTCTTGGGAAATACTCAAGTATTTCCTCTATTAAATGGCACCAAGTTTTAGTGCTTTGCTTTTGTTTCTGTTCCGTTTTCCTTTGCTTTGTTTTTCTCATCTTGTTAATTTAATTTTAAAATAAAAATCACTTGATAAAATCTATAGTCCTAATGAGTTCACAATACCCCATGTAGTATCTATCACTGTTCCTTAAACCAATAGGCAAAGGGACTAAGTGCCTTCTGTTGGATATAGGAGACTAATTAAGATCCTAGGATTCTAGGCTTTGTACTTTTTAATATTAGTTAACAATGATCTCGGTACTGATTTTTCTTTGTGGTACTAAGGGTTGAACTCAGGGCCTCATGCATGCTAGTCAAGTGCTTTACCAGTGAGTTACATTTCCATTTTATTTTTAAATAATCATATGCTATTAGTAAAGGCTTGGCCCTTTGCTACCATTAAACCTAGTTGTACTCTTCACTAAGCTAAATTATTTTTAACATCCTGATTTATTTATTTTTATTGTTAGCATATGGTTTTTTTGAGACAGAATCTCACTATATAGCCTAGGCTGGCCATGAGCCTGTGATGCTCCTACCATAGCTTTCTTGGTGCTAAAATTATGTGTGGTGTATACCACTATAATATATTTATTCTTTTTCTTTATATTCTTAACCTACATCTAATTGAAAACAATAATGGTGGGCAGCAGGGTCTGTGTGTGTGTGTGTATCAAGGAGAGAGAGAGAAAGAAAGACTTGGCATGCTGGAGGCCTTGGGATTGATTCTCAGTATTGCAAAATAAGGCTAATAGTAATGATGATAATTGTAACAGAATAACAAGAGTGATCATGAGAGCAGAAAAATTACTACAGAAAAGAATCAAACAGAAAACTGTCCAATGCAATATGGTAATATATTGTAGTTTACCATGTACATAAGCATACTAGCATACAGAAGTATATTATCTTGAATATCTTTTTAGATTTCAGATTTTGAAGGGAAAGGTCAGAAGCACAAAGTTTGCAAAATATACAAAAGAAGAATCCTTAAGTTTGAAAAATAGACTTGTTATAGTCACTCTTGGAATATTTTAGCTTTATTTTTGTTTGGGTTTTTTTTTTAACTGTATTTTTTTGTCTTTTCTTTTTTGGTACTGGGGATTGAACCCAGGACGTTGCACTTGCTAGGCAAGCGCTTTGCCACTGAGCTACATCCCAGCCCTTCTTGGAATATTTTAAGCTTTTATGTTGCCTAGTACCTTAAGAATTTTACATTTTAAAACTGAGAATTTAAGTTGTCTGTGTCTTATTTAAGTATTAGTGGCATGAATTAATAGACTGCATTCTTAGTGTTACAATATTTATGGAATAATCTTGTCTTCTGTTGATTTGAAGTATTATCAGTATATACAGACCCCTCAGAATTCTTGTCACCTTTCTCTTATCACTGTCAGACTGTCATACGTTCATCTTACTGTACTTAAAACAGATTTGGAGAAATCTCTCATTTTGCATATCATGCATATTTATACCTTCTCTTTTAATTTTTTTTTTACTTTATTTAGTTTGACTGTCCCTCATTTTCTCTGCCTCTACCAAAGAAACTCAAAAATGAAGGTTTGAGGTTTATTTTAAAATACCATATTAAATAAGAGATAATCCAGATCTTTCCATATTAAAATTTTCAAATCCAAGAATATTCAGATCATTTTTTTCATCTTTTATGCCCATCATTAAAGTTTTGACATTAACTTCATGTTGATCTTATACATTTAATATTATTACTACTCTTTTTAGGGAGGCTGTTAATGAGTATCATTTAAAAGTTAACCTCCCTATTTTCTAATAATTTTTCAGTATTTACACAGCTTTGTAGCAAATAATATAATACCAAATATAATACCAAAGAAAACTAATTAAATGAGCATATACACTCTATTCTACATATTTCCACTAGTTAGAACTACTATTTGAAATAATCGTATTGACTTTTGATTATTTAAAATCATAGAATTATGGTTATTTTATAGGTACATTCTTGTCAGCTAATATAAATTCTTAGGGAGATTAAAAATTGCCTTTTAAAAATGTATCTTAATTGGGTGTTGGTGCCTCTAGCGTCTGAGATCTGAGGATTGCAGTTCAAAGCCAGCCTGAACAGGAACGTCTATAAGACTCTTACCTCCAATAACCTTCTCATTAAAAGTTGAAGTAGAAAATACACATTCACCACCTGCCTAAAAATAAGCTATTGATTTAGTAGAAAGGAGAAATCTACAGAGCTTACTACATAGTCAAAAAAAAAATAAAAGCTGTAAGTAATGCTGTGGCTCTTAGTGGTAAAGCCTTGGCCTTGAGCACAAAGAGGCCCAGGGACAGTGCCTGGGCCCTGAGTTTAAGTCTCAGAACCAGCAAAATAATAATAATAATAGTAATAGTAACTTCTTGTCATTCTAGCTTCCAGTAGTATTGAACATGTTGCCAATTAAAGGTAGACAGATGGGCTTTGAATGAGTTTTTAGTTACTCAGGAGTGTTCATATTGTACCATTATTAATAATAGAGTAACATTCACCATTTTGGGTGCCAGGAATTCATTGATGGTGGTAGTGCTTTGCACCCTATCACTTAACAGTTGTAAGAATTAGGTAGTCTGTTTTTCAGATGAAAAAACAATGGTACAACATGGTTAATTGACTTCCTTACTGTAAAGTTCTAGTAATTGGTAGAATTAAAATATGAGCTCAGATATGTTGTTTCCTGTGCTTTCAAAATGATACCCTCTCCTTCCTGTTTTCTTCTCATATGTGAATAGATATGACGTGTATTAGCAAGGAAATGACACTTTCACTTGGGATGACAATTCTGAGCCTTTTTATTTTTTTATCAGTCACTCCAGTGGTATTGAACATAGAGCAACTTGAGCAGTGAAGGATGGAAATGAATTTTGTTAAGACTCTGAGAGTGTCAAAGTAGAAGTAGTAGCATAGTAGAAATAAGATTGAACAGTCTTTGTTCCGTGCAGCTCTTCAATATAGTATTTGCTCTAAATATCTCATTATTCTACTGTTATTCAAGTTCTGTGCCCCTCTGAGGTATTTATCATGTTGAGTTTTCTGGTGTATTTGTATGACTATGTTCATAAGATAGTAGAAACCTGTATATCTGGTTTGTTTCTGTATCTGTAACACATTGTGTATATGACATAGGGAGGTTTTCCTCTTTCTCATCACAGACCCAGGATAGGCATAGGATTATCAAGGTAAGGTAAATGGTTTGTACTGCCCTGGCAGAATCCTGACAGAATATTTATTTCTCTGTTTGGATTAGTATTTGGAAACATTAAAGAAATTTGTATAGCCTAATTAATTCCTTCATATCTTAGGTAAATTAGATTTAAAGTTTATTTTCTATAGACTTAAAATGACATTTTGTTTTTAAACTTTTTATTTTAAGATACAGTTACTTTTCATGTTTTTTGAAACCTATCTTCAGTTAAAGCTTTAACGCATTTAGAATATAAGTTCCCCAGTTAAGTGAAGAATACCATCTGTCAGGTGTGTTAATAGACATACTGCTCAATAGCATGAGTTCCTTTTTGGGGTAAATTTGTCTTTTTGGTTTTGGGATTATTTTACACTGCCTCTCGCTATGTAGCATAAGTTTATGTTTTCCTGGAATTCACGATCTTTCTGCCTCAGCTTTTCTAGTTCTGGGGTTATAGGTAATATCTGCACAATGGTGTGATTCTTTTAAAGCCAGTAAACTCAGTCAGTTCATCCATAAGTGGGTAAATTATGTGATGTGTAAATTATGTCAATTTAACAGGAAAATTCAAATAGCATTATTATTACCTTCTCCTTTTGTCAATGGAAGAAATTTAGTTGCACAAGAAGAACTTCCATTTTTATTGATTTATTAGTAGGCAATACTAGTTATTAGCCACACACACTAATGATGATTATTTTTCTGTTAGTTTCTAGTGCCAAACTAAAAAGAAAAAAGAACTGGTTTGGAACAGCAATATATACAGAAGTAACTGTTGATGGAGAAATTAAAAAAACAGCAAAATCCAGTAGTTCTTCTAATCCAAAGTGGGATGAACAGCTGACTGTGTAAGTATTTTCTTAAGTTTGGGCTCCTCATGTTTTTTATTTTGTAAAATGGCTTCACAGTAAAGAGCCTTTTTTTCCCCATTGTTAATAGGTGATTTAAAATATGAAGGTATTGGATTCATTTTCTTAAAGAAAAAGAATAATAATTCTTGCTTTATAATTTAATTATTTCCATAGAGCCCTCTTTATTCTGGATGATTTGCATAGAAATTTAAAAAAATTCAGTAATCATTTAATTTTGATATTTGTGAAATAGTATGGTGTGGATTCATTTATAGTAAAAGTATTATAACTAATGGCCTCAGTTTTCTTAAATGTTTTTGAAATCTGTTTGAAATTTTTTTCAGATAAAAACAGTATTATTGTAAATTCTCAGTATGACTCAGAACATTGCCGATGTTTTGGATTAGTAACTATTAGTACTATTACAATCTTTATGGTTTTCTTTCATGTGATATTAAATAAACTGAATTTTCTGTTCTTAAAATATATTGAAATAAATAATCACATAAAGTGATGATGTTTGTGTTTTGCTTTAATTTTACTCCTACAGAAATGTGACCCCACAGACAACCTTAGAATTTCGAGTTTGTAGTCATCACACTTTGAAAGCAGATGCTTTATTAGGAAGAGCAATGGTGGATTTAAAACAAGTCCTTTTAACGCACAATAGAAAATGTAAGTTTCTTTCTAACCTTTGTTTCTTTGTAAGTTTATTTCATACACTTTTAACATATCCTAAATTACAGAAGCAATAATTTGGCACTATTGAAAGAGAATTTTATTTTTGCCTATGATTGCTTTTAAATTTATAGGTATCATATTAAATATAATTATTTCTCCATTCTGTAAAGTGATTTCAGTTATCTGCAAGTATTCTATTATCAATGATAAGCAGTCATTTGTTATTTTACTCATCTATATATTTTAAAACTTAAGCAGCATGTGGGTGGTGTTGCACATCTGCATTCCTACCATTCAGGAGAATGAGGGCAGGAGAATTGTGAGTTCCAGGTCAGGCCCGGGTATATAGGAAGATCCTGTCTTGAATCACATCCCCCAAGTCATACAAGTCTTTGAGATTTAAAAAAAAGGCCAGTGTCTGAGCCTCTTCTTTGTTTCTTGACTAAACAATTTTATTTGGATAAAATAAATTCTAACTTTAACTTTTGGTGTTTTCATCATACAACTAGTTCATTGTAGGAAATGTATAATATAGAAAATCTCAGAGGAATATAAAAATTACCTATGATTTTTCTATCCTAGGATAGCCATAATTTCTGTGATTTTCTTGTTTGTAGACATAAACATGTCTATTTATTATTTTATCTTCTGTGTTTAAAAATTTATTAGTATACTGTAATTATGTTTCCATGATTTAAAATTTTTCTGGCTTCAGGATTTTTAAGGTACGTAAGACTGCAGATATTTTGTAAACCTCTTACAAGTATTTGTGGAAGTTTAGGTATACATACTTCAGCTTGTAATTCTGCAGAATTATAAATCAGAGGTTTTATCAAATTCTCAAAATATGTAATTCATAGAAGATAATAAACATCTCTAGTTTGAATTTTAAGTACAATGTTTTTTCATAACATTAAACCTTATTGTCTGACATCGCATGGTTTCTAGTTGTTAACTCAAACTAATGTTTAAATCTGTAAATCTTTGTGCTTACCTTTTTTTATTTTCTTATTTCCTTGCAAAAGGTAAATTTTTAATGCTTCAAAGATAGAGGAAGTAGTATGCCTTAGTCTCAATTACTCATTATAAACCACTCATTATAAAAATAAAAAAGTTACTTGCTGAAGTAACAAGTAATTGTAAAGTTGTAAGTAGAAGACATATTTTGTTTCTTAACTGTTGAATTTTTATTTAGCTAGCCTTGAAACAATTTTAAAAACATTTCATTTACAAAGATGATTAAATTCTTGGTTTCCTTTGATTCAATTACTTTAAACAGTACTTTGATTCTGGATTTTAGTTCAGCATCAATTAAATGAGCTCAAGTGAGACTTTTTGAGTTTTATTTACTTGGCTTTTGCTAAGAATACATAATAACCCATGAAAAACATAACAGTCTATGATAATAGAAATACCTGATATTACAAACATTCTGACTTTTCATTAGATCATAAAATGACTTTTCATTTAAGTAAAATCTAAATACCCCAGTTATGAAAGAGGAGAAGTATTTGGTTTTATATAAAAAAGAAATCATAAATTGTTGTCATGATCCTTAGTAGCCAGACATGGGCTTTGCATTAAGTTCTTATGACCGGTCTTAGTTTGAAGTTCTTTTTTAAAAAAATTCTGACTATCTCCATTTTGTGGTAAGGAAATGAGAAAAGTGAGGACTCAAGAAGTTTAAATAACTTAATCCATATTGTGTCTAATTAGTAGCAAAGCTAGAATTTGCCAATGCTTTGCCTCAACCAAAGGGTTGGGCTGAAGACCAAGTTTGTTTAGTTATTAGACAGTCTTAGCTTTATTTATGTAATAGCAAGTTCAGAGTGTATACACAAGTAGTTAAAGATGATCTATGGAAAGTACAGGGAGGGGAAGAGAGGAATTATTCAACTAGGTGCAAAAAGCCAATATAGATTAAAAAATACAAAGAATTCTTTCTAAACATAGCTGTCAAGTACTGAGTTACTCCTTCTTGAAATGTAGTTTTGATTTCCAAAACAGTTTGTATGTAGCCAAAGTGATAAAATTGGATATTCTTTTTCTAGTGGAAAAAGTGAAGGAACAGTTAAAACTCTCTTTGGAAAACAAGAACGGCATAGTACAAACTGGTGAGCTAACAGTTGTACTTGATGGACTGGTGATCGAGCCAGAAAATCTAGCAAATTGTAGCTCCTCTCCAACAAGTAAGCTGTATGTATGCTTTTAAAATTTAAAGTAAGTCTGCAAGAAGTATATGAAAACCTGGTTCTTTCTTTGTTTCTTGTTCAGTAGAAATACAACAAAATGGGGATGCCTTACATGAAGATGGAGACCCTTCGGCAAGGACAACTACCAGGTAAAATGTTTCATTTCAATGTTTATGGTAACAGTTCTTAGTATAAAGTGGTTTGGACTGCATTCTGGTAGCTCACACCTGTAATCCTAGCTATTAAGGAGCTGACATCTGAGGATTCTGATTCCAAGCCAGCTGGGGCAGGAAAGTCCATGAGACTTTGATCTGCAGTTACCTACCAAAAAGCCAGAAGTAGAACTGTGGCTCAAGTAGTAGAGCATAAACCTTGAGCAAAAAAGCTAAGGATCGTTGCCTAGCTCCTGAGATCAAGCCACTGTACAGGCACAAATATGTTCTTTTCTTTTTAACTTTATTATTGTTTAATTTTTTCAAACTAGGGCTGTGTAGCGCAGGCTGACTTCAAACTCAAGATCTTCCTGCGTTAGCCCCTCAGGCCCCTGGGGTTACAATTGTGCATAGCCATACTCAGCCACACTAAGTATGAGGTTTAAAATTTTAACTTTAATGTAGAATTTGTCACAAAATTTAAAAGCTGACATGAAAACATACTTGTTGAATGCTTATGAGTGTAGCTTTTAAAAATAATAGTTTATTAAGATATAACATAGACCATAGTCATTCTTTTAAAAAATAAATTTCAAGGTTGGGAAGGTGGCTTAGTGGTAGGGCACTTGCCTTGCATGCATGAGGCCCTGGGTTCGATTCCCCAGCACCACATGAGCAAAAAGAAAAAAACCAGAAGTGGCGCTGTGGCTCAAGTGGTAGAGTGCTAGCCTTGAGCTGAGGAGCTGAGAGACAGCGCCCAGGTCCAGAGTTCAGGCCCATGACAGGACCCAAAAAATAAATAAATAAATAAATAAATAAATTTCAGTAGATTTTGTCTATTTCTAGACTGTGCAACTACCCATCTAGTAATTTACATTTTAGCTCTAGATTTGTCATTTCATTTTCATCATTTCATATGAAATTCATAAATTGTGAATGTTTGTGACTGGCTTCTCAGATTTAGCATAACAGTTGAAGATTTATTTATGTTGCAGCAGTTTATGAAATTCATTATGTGTCTGAGCTTCATATTAATAATATTTTTCTAAATCTGTACTTTGGCTTTTTGGTAAATGTATTCAGATATTGTAGATAAATTGAATTGGCATTCTATAGATCACAGGAAGATAAATGCTCTACTGATTTGCTTTTCTACCAAAATCATCCTGTCATTTCAAAAACAACATTTCATATTTTGTGACAAGAGATGCTTTCTGACATAATAAATTGAAACAAAGATGTATAATATCAAATATGGTAGAAGTGTAGCCTTAAAATATAAAAATATATTTCTGTAAAATTACTTGGTACATTTAAAAAAACATGCTGGTGAAGGACAAGGTATGAGCTTTATTACTGTACTCTTAATTAAGTTGGTATTAGCAATCTTAATCACATTAAATGATCCTGATAAAATCACTTGAACAAGCCAGGTGTGGTGTTGTACTCCTAGGTACTCTGGAGGCTGAGGCCGAAGGATCACAAGTTTAAGGCCAGGTTGGCCATCTTAGTCCCTATCTAAAAATAAAATTTTAAATGGAGATGCTGGTGGTTCATGCTTGTAATCCTGGCTATTTAGGAAGCTAAGATCTGAGCATAGAGGTTTGAAGCCAACTGGGGCAGAAAAGTGCTTAAGTCTCTTGTCTTTGATTAACCTGCAAAAAGCTGGAAGAGAGATGTGGATCAGGTGGTATGGCACCAATTCTGAGTGAAAAGCCAAGAAGGAACATGAGACATAAGTCTCAGTACTGTATAACTAGTACTAAAAGTATTTTAAACTTTAATGTAATAAAACAGGCTATATCGTTGTCCCTTACTTTTTCTACCTATCATTTTACATGGATATTAAGAATTCTAAATTTTTCTGAGGGAAATCCTAATGAAAAGTTATATAATTATACTTAACCCATTGAACTAAGGTTTATTTTTGTTTGTTTTTAAAGGTTGGCTCTTGAAGGTACTAATGGAATAGATAATCATGTACCTACAAATACTGTCATCTCAAACTCGTGCTGTTCGTATGTAGTTAATGGAGACAACACACCTTCATCCCCGTCTCAGGTTGCTGCCAGACCCAAAAATACACCAGCTCCAAAACCACTCACCTCCGAGCCTGCCAATGACACTGGTAACCCTGGCTGTTTATAATATGTTTAAAGAAAGCAAAATTAAGTCTATGTATCTATGCCTATACTTTCTTCCTTGTATAATCTTTTTTCCTCTTAAATTTTTTTTATTGTGAAGGTGATATACAGAGGGTTTACAGTTACATAAGTCAGGTTCCATTTCTTTTTGAACAGTGTCACCTCTTCACTTGTTTTCTCCCGGCTTTTTCTCTCCTGACTCCCCATCCCCAGAAGTTGTGCAGTTCATTTTCAACATAGTGTCTAGTGAGTATCACTCTATTCTTTGACAGAAAATTTGTAATAACAATCTTGGAAATTTTTTTCTGAAATTTTAATTCCTTTGGATCACTTAACATGGAATTCCAAAACTAATTTAGAGAGTACAACACATTTTTACTTCGCTTTTATGATAGGTAATGTCTCAGGCTTTATTCCTCAAAGTACATTTAATTTTTCATGTTAATAGAATGTTTCTGAAAGAACTTCAGTGAATTCATTGGTTTGTAACTAAAACTTAGTAGCAAATGGTTCATTTTGCTGTCCTGTCTAGTTTGGTATAAAAATGGCCTGACGATACAACTAGCAGAAAGTTTTATAGCCCCAATGTAGGAACTACTCTTATTAGAAAGGCAATAGTTAAGGAAGATTTTTCTGTGTAAGTTTTTGTATCTATCTGAAAATACAGCATAATATGAATATAACATAAGTGAGTCTCATCAGTCTTGCTTTATGTTACCTAGTCTTCAGTTAGATCCGACATATAATACAAATCTGTTACAACTAATGTTATGGGTAGCCAAAATCACATGTTCTAAATACTTAGCTTGGCTATTTAAAAAAAAGTTAAAACTTGGGGCTGAGAAGGCGGCTCTGTGGTAGAGTGCTTGCCTTGCATGCATGAGGCCCTGTGGTTCAATTCCTCAGTACCACATAAGCAGAAAAAGCTGCAAGTAGTGCTGTGGCTCAGGTGGTAGAGTGCTAGCCTTGAGCTGAAAAGCTGAGGGACAGCACCCAGGCTGAGTTCAGGCCCCACAACTGACAAAATAAATAAATAGATAGATAAATTAATTAATTAAAAATTGTAGTTTTAAAAATACAGTCTGAGGAACTGCTTATAGGAAGAAAGACCAATAATTTGTTTTTTAAAAATATAAACACAGAAAAGATTATCTAAGTGCCAGAGTTCTGCATGATAAGGCAAGAAAAAAATGCTTTTTAACCAAGAAGACTAAAGCTCCCAAATAGTTACCCATACTAGAAAATGAAGAAAAATCCTGCTTATTCACCCATTTAAAATTTTTACATTTCATTTTTGTATAATTTCCTTATGAACTTACCAAAGAAGTTCTAAGAATAACTATTAAAAATATTTAATTTTCATATGACCATATAAATGAGTTCTTTTATGTGATTATCTTTGAATCAAGAAAGGTTGAGCTAGTTCTATTCTTTCTTACAACAGTTAGATAGCAGAACCTATCATTTCAATCAGTACTCTTTTTTTGTTTTTCCTCACTCTTGGTTAGTACTGGATTTGGAACTCAGAGCCTGGCTGCCACTCTACCTCTTGACCACACCTCCAGCCTGGCTTTTTGCTGATAGTTTTTGGAGGTAGAGTCTCTCAGACTTTCTGCCTGGGTTGACTTTGAACTTAGATCTTTAGGATCTTAGCCTCCTGAGTAGCTAGGATTACAGGTGTGAACCACCAAGCCTGACTCTAAGACTACTCTTGATTTCATGAAAAGAATATAAGGTGAAGAATTTGAATGCTTATTTTAGAAAGGTTTTCTTTTTGCCATCTCTCTAAAGTATATGGAATTTTCTTATTGGTAAAGTGATTACCTATCTGAATAGATTAGTGAAAATAATCTACTGACCCTTACTTTCATGTTTTAGTGTTGGGGGGTGTATTCAGATGTGGACATAATTAAGGAAGAAGGAATTAATTTAGGCTTTTCTGATTATAGAATTACAGACTTCAAATAGTATTCTCCCACCTTTTTACCGATTATTATTGAAGATGTCTTACAAAACAATCCTATTGTCATCATTCCATTGCCTAGTTTAGTATGGCTTCCGGAACCTAGCCTGTTGATAGCAACCACTTAATGGATGTCTTTTTGTATGTTCAGTCATGCCTTACTAGGAGGATGAATTCAGGAATGGGCAGTTCCTATTCCTTTAAGATGTTGGTACAAAGCCGTATTTCTTTATTTAAGGTAAGGTCCTTAGAAATAAGATTTGTTGTTGGAGTTGTAGATGGGGATGAGGGTGGAGGAGAACATATTTTGTGTATCACTGTATTCTGTCTTTAGTTTTCTGAGTGTGAGCCTGACCCCTGAATTGTTGTTTAGCTTCTGGTGCTTTGGTTTTCTATCTGGAAATACAATCTCTTGATCTCTTCCCATACATATCCTGAGGGCTTCAGCAGAGCTGCTCTTCACTGAGAACCTGAGATTTTGAGCCAAATGAACTTCTTTTCCTTGAAAAGTTATTTATTCAGCCTTGTTATTTACATTAGTAATTCAAAGTAGACTTACATACCTATAGTTCCACAGTTTGGAAATCACTAAAGTTTTTTTTTTTTTTTCTGGGTCCAGTCGTGGGGCCTGAACTCTGGGCCTGGGCACTGTCCCTCAGCTCTTCAGCTCAAGGCTAGCACTCTACCACTTGAGCCACAGCCCCACTT